AATAAAAGAATGTTTTTACCATTCTCAAGTTTAGATTCTTCTATAACATTAATGTAACATGGTCACGAGGATCAAACAAGAATTGATGTGAATTTCATACAATAATTTCCTAAAAGTAATGTAGAAGAATGCCACATTTGGACTCCAATACCTGCCTATTTTTTGACAATTGTCATATATGCCAATTCCAAGATGGCCCATGAAATCAAACTTACAGTAACTAAAAGTTTCATTTATTCACATAAGAAAGAAAATATACTTTATAGCAGGGATTCTTAAATTGTTAGTTATGACCTCATAAAATATTGTTTATTTTTAAGCCTATCACATCTGTGTATGCTGTCAAAACTAATGTCTGCTTTGATTGGACAAGTTTACTAAGCCAGTAAACAAAGTACAGAACAAAACTTGGAATGAGTTTGAGAAATAGGTAAATCCAGAAGTATATATTGTATCTGAAATTTTAAAAATGGGCAGAATACCTCCTATCTGTTTCTTCAAGAAGTTTGAAAATACTAATATACAAGTTGTCAAGGAACAGTATGAAAAAAGTAAACATCTGTTACTAAAGAAAACATAAAGGTATTTAATGTCTCTTTTATACATATCAGTATACTAGTAAAAAGCAATAGATATTTTAAAAATGCTAATTTGTTTTCAACAGGCCCTTTCAAAGACTGTCATCAAGCCAAACAAACTGGCTATTCCAGCAGTGGGATTTATATGATCAAGACTGAAAACAGTCATGCACCAGTGCAATTATGGTGTGAAAACAGCCTTGATCCTGGGGGCTGGACCGTTATTCAAAAAAGAACAGATGGTTCTGTGAACTTCTTCACAAACTGGGACAATTATAAGGTAATCATAAAAAAATATCCAGGAGGCAATTTACAATGTACTGTTACTACAGGTAGTCCTTGACTTACAACTACAATTGAGCCCAACATTTTTGTTGTTAAGTAAGACATTTGTTAAATGAGTTTTGCCCCATTTTATGACCCACAGTTGTCAAGTGAATCACTGCAATTGATAAGTTAGTAATCTGGTTGTTAAGTGAATATAGCTTTCCCATTAACTTTGCTTGTCAGAAGGTTGCAAAAGGTGATCACATGACCTTGGGACACAGCAAAGGTCATAAATATGAGCCAGTTGCCAAGTATCTGAATTTTTTATCAAATGATCATGGGGATGCTGCAAAGGTTGTAATGGTGAAAATGGTCATAAATCACTTTTTTCAGAGTCGTAACTTTGAACAATGACTAAATGAACTGTTGTAAGTCGAGGACCACTTTTATAAACTTTCATTTTGTTACTCTCTCAATTTGCTGGATTACAACTTTCCTGTCAATGACCACCATTTGTGAGATTCCAATATATCTGCAAAGCATCACGAACCGGACAGCTGGCATATATGTAAAGAAACAAAAAATCTATGTGGAATTATTTAAAGGTGTGCCCACATAGGATAATTTTCTGTGCCTGGTTCAGCATTTGCATGGAAAGCATCAAAGATATGGTGCTTCATATAATTTACAAATCACTACTGTATAAACTATTTTTACTTCCCCTTCTTGCTAGTTTTATGAAAATCAGTATTATGATTCTTTGAGTAGTGTCTTACCTTTTGATCTATTAAGGAGAATTATTTATTGTAAATTTCATACAAATAAAGAATTGGATTTGTTTCAGATCACAATCCTGAACAGAACGATCTGGGAAAATATGCACAGGATTATGTTGTTAACTGGGCATGGGAGTTTTAAATTATCATTAACAGATTATGCTTTTATTTCACAACTCTTCTTTGTCTACAATTAATTGTTTAAATGACATTGTGAAAAGTTACAAGCATCTTAATGGGGTGTTGCCTCTTCTCCCTAGAATGGAAAAAAAAATCTTCTAAGAAAGACTTTGTAGTCTGCTATCAAAAAGTAATGTACAAAATGTTGATAGCATATATACATCAGACATGGGAGAACAAGGGACAAGTTTTGAAGATGCTACAAGAGATAAACAATGTATTTGGAGCGCAGCATGTTAAGAAATGCTCCTAAGAAATAAATTGGCTGCAAGAAAAAAGAAAGCACAAAGCAAAAATACTGGCTGGATCATCTTTCATATTCAAATTTATCTTCATTAATTAATAATTTTATCACTATTAACTTATTCCCCATTCATAAATCAAACATAGTGAATTTCTTCATGCATGACTTCCCAATACTTAATTACAAAAATAATATATACTATTTCATATAATTTCCCACCCATTTATGAGATTTTGATCTATTTTAATTTATTTATTAAAACATTTTTAATAAAATCATTTTCCCATTAGTGATATAATACAAATATTTTATTAGTATTAATTCTAACAATACTAAGAATTCTCCCTCAACTAGTATGGACAGGCTATAGTTAGTAAATTGGGAACAAGCTGCTTCATTGCTAGAATCCAGTGGCAAACAAAATTCTAGAAACCACACTTAAGTCTCACACTTGCAACATGTTTCATGCCCTCTCTATCAAAGAGTTGGAGGGAAGATGACAATCAATGTGTCAGTCTGTGAACTTTCCACACATCAGTGTTTATGGTCAAAAGTGAATTAATTATTGGATTTTTCCCAATACTTTTAGAGCATCAAAGATACAACCCTCATATATTGATTATATATTAAAACCTTCTATATGAGAAATGGAAGGCAATTTAATAAACTTTCTGCTTTGTTTACAGAAAGGGTTTGGAAATGTTGCTGGGGAATACTGGCTGGGACTGGAAAATATTTACTGGCTCTCCAATCAGGATAATTACAGACTTTTGATTGAATTAGAAGATTGGAGTAATAAGAAAGTCTATGCAGAATACAGCAGTTTTCGATTGGAGCCAGAGAGTGAATATTATCGACTACGTTTAGGCACGTATCAAGGGAATGCTGGTGATTCCATGATATGGCACAATGGAAAACAATTTACAACACTGGACAGAGACAGAGATATGCACACAGGTAAGAATTAGTACTATTTAGATCTACATACTTCTTATTCTGGCTAAGCTGAGGAAATTGATGAATCATTGGGAAGATAAGAGGACTTTGCAAAATAGTACTCTGTTTAACATAAAAATATCTTCAATTAGAATGATCCATATAGGCATGTACAAGTAACTTGTATCTTACTTTTGGCAATGACAAAATCATATGCTTAGAGTTACGATTTACATTGAAGAAGGTGGAAAAGCTTTTTTCTCATGGGAAAGTATCTGTTCTGACTATGTGAAAAAGGCAAAAGATTCAGATGATCTGTAAAGAAACCAGAGGTTTGGATCTCGAACAAATTTCTGGGTAGGGAGTGTGATTTCTACTTAATGTTATTCAAAAAGGATTCAAAAATAACTTCCAAATCTCCAAGTTCCATGTTTTGTGCTACTAATTGTACAGTGCACTGCACCATTAAGTTTGGAAGTTCTTATAACATTTTTATTTATTTTTTATTATACCTGTCCTTGATTTTTTAGATCTTATTTTACTTACTATTTTTCTGTTTTATATGTATACATAAGCAACAGTTCTGCCATTGATTATTTTATTGCATCTAACTGTAATAAACTGACTGTGTAAAAATATATCACACTCAACACAATATGTAAAACTACAGAGAAAATAAGCTTTGTGGTGATCTGGTTTTCCTGAAGATTTGGCCTAATTCTTTGGACTTATAAAGAACTACAGATGCTTATCCAGAATTGTACTTTGTAATATTAAGTTTAATTCAATTATCAAAAGTAACTGTGGAACTGTTATAGCCAAATAATATTTTATATGGTTTTAATTTTACCGAAATGCTAAAGATACTTTATGGATCATTTAGATGATCATAAAACTTACTTTCTTCTCAGGCAGCTGGCCATATGCACAATTTATTTTCTATAATTCTTTACTTTTAAAGAATTATGGAAAAATAATTCTATTATTTTCTATTTTTATCTAATAGAAAAGTAGGACAAAATAGCTGATAGAACAAATACACACGTATTCATTTAGGAGCATTCCTTTCTTTTCTCAAAATAGAGTTACCAGATATAATAAATTCCTCCCTATTTGAAGATGACAATAAGCTTCCATCAAATAAATGGAACATAGGAATCATTATTCCAGTGGTGACTAACCTTTTTGGGCTCCTGTGCCAAAAATTGTACACGTGCTTGCATGGTCGCATTCGCGTGCCAGCACCCAGAAAGCAATGTGTAATCCAGAAAGCAATGCGCGTAATCCGTACCCACCTACCCCGCTTACCTGCACTGCGCCTCACAGCTGATTTTCGGCCAGTTTGAGGCTTTTTTGGCCTCCCAAAGGCTTGAGGAAGGCTTCTGCAGGCTGAAAACTAGCCCCGTTTCATCACTTCTGGGTATTTTCAGAAAAACAGGAAGTGATGAATGGGGCTAGTTTTTGGCCTGCAAAACCTGCAGAAGCCTTCCTCAAGCCTTTGGGAGGCCAAAAAAGGCCTCAAACCAACTGAAAATCAGCTGTGAGGCGTGCACATGCCCAGTGAGGTAAGTTTGCCTGCAGCTCATATGCTGGCACAAATGGCTCTGGGTGCCACCTGTGGCACGCGTGCCATAGATTCGCCATCATGGCATTATTCCTTAGTACCTATACAATGCATTGGAGAATTCTATTCCAGTACAATCACTAGCTCTTAAGTTCTATTCTATTTCTTGTTTGTGCTACTTCACAAAGCTATTTGACTTGACACAACTATTTTTTTCTCTTGCCACTTCTTTTCATTTTAATGGCTCATTCTCCTTCGCTCTATGCTAAATACTATCACGAGAATGATGCAGGAGACAAATATTTGAAGAGGGAATTACTTGAAGGTTTATTGTAGTTGTTTTCCTCATTAAAATAGAAATTATTTCACCCGAACCAACAGGTCTTCATTAAAATGAGGATTTTATAAATACAGTTGATTGATTCAGTAATACCATCCTTCTCTAAAATAGTAACAATAGTGTCCATGGCCAAACACTGGAGATATAATCTGTTAACAAGCTGACTTTTTACTAAGTAAATTACAAAGAATATGTTTTGTGATGTGATGTAAAATGTATCTTAATGTTTTGCTTCTCTCTGCAGGAAATTGTGCCCACTTTCATAAAGGAGGTTGGTGGTACACTGCTTGTGCTCATTCTAATCTCAATGGAGTATGGTATAGAGGAGGACACTACAGAAGCAAACATCAGGATGGGATTTTTTGGGCCGAATACAGAGGAGGCTCATATTCACTGAAAGCAGTTCAGATGATGATTAGACCTATTGATTGAGACTGCTAAAATGTTTTTTTTTTTTAAATAATCCTTAAGTTTGATGCAGATGTCATTTTTCAAAATCTTAGGAGAAGTCTACTAAGTATTTTTTTTAAATTCTCACCATATTATATATGTTGATTATATACACTTTAATTACAAAGCAAAACTGACGGCAGCATTTGAAATAATTCTGTATTCATGTAAGGTATGAATATTAACTGCAGCTATTAAACTTACCAGTTTAATATCAAGATCAAGAGGAAAAATTAATAGATGTGTAAAATGATTACATTTAAAAACTCAAGTATGAAACATTTTTCTTATGTGTTAAATAGTCAAATCAATTCATTCTCATATGATTAAAATTATTTCAGTTTTTATTTCAGAGACCTTAATGTTAGGGGGGGAAAACTGCTTTAGAGAACCTTATAGACAATGAGACAAAAGAATTGGAGAGAAACTACACTTGCAAGTGTAGTTTGCATCAAATAAAATACTATCATTTCATTATGGCAATTGTTACTAGATAGTTAAATTATAATGGCAATTGGTTCAAGAATTTCCATCACTAAATGATGCAATAATAAAGTGTGATCTCATGTGACTACATCGTTTAGAATGGCAATTCCCGCAGTTGCTGCTCCCATCAGTAAGTGAAGATCATGCATCCTTAAGCGAGCAGCTCCTTGTAACTTCCTGGTGGCTTACAACAACCAAAGTCAGTGGAAAGTGCTATTAGCCACAATTCAGAGTCTGACTCTGACCATGAATCTGATAATGTTGCTCCAGCTGGCCTGTACTACAGAACAGTCAGACTCAGGAATCAGCAAGCCAGGATTCAATTATGGATCATCAGTCTCAGGTATCTCCTGTTTCCACGTCCCAGATCTAGGCTCATACAGAAGTGAGCAACGCAACATTCCTCTATGAGGCTTCTAATAAACCAAAGGGCAAAGCATGAATAATTGCAGTCAGCGGATTGCAGACAGATTTGATTAATTCCTGATCTTGCAATCCTTGTTGCAAACAACCATTTGGTTATTCAGCTCTTGAATCATGTTTCTGCTCCTTGCTTGTGACTCCTGGCCTTTGGACTGGCTGACTGCCTAATTTGGCATCCTGGATCTTTTGGAACATCTGTAGACTATGCTGTTATATCTTTGATTGTATTTGACTCCCTTCAGGCAATCATTCTTTACTGGGTATTTGAATTTCATTCCTATCTGCTGTTATCTGCTGTTATCCACCTAAATAGCAGTAAATATTCCTGCTTCTACAGTACTTTGTTTTTGTCTATGTGTCAGCAACCTTAAAAAAGAACAGGAAGCTGACCAGAAGTTGCAAGTTCAAGGCAGTTTGCAAGCAGATAGCCAGGTAAGTGGCTGCTGCTGGATGGAAGGAGGTATATGAGTGGTAAGGGAGGCATGGTGGAAATATGGCTGGGCTTGGGATTGCTGCTGCTGGCTGGAAGAGGGTGCATTAATGCTAAGGGAGCCACAGCAAGGGTGGGGAAGGACTTGGGGTGGCTGCTGCTGCTGCATGAGAGAAGGATGTGCAAGTGGCAGGGATACAACATATAAGTGCTGAATGTCCCAAGGATGGTGTGTCAGAGTGTGTAGGTGGCTGGTGAGATGCAAGAAGAGAGAGGCTGGGAGATAGTGCACTGGTGAGACTTACCCAAGCAAGTTGTGACCTTATCTGCCAACTTCGCTATTGACATTGGGAAGCAGGCAGGGAAGGTCACAAATAAAGTTCATGCCACCACAAGGTGCTGCAACTTAACTTTGTTAAGAGCCAACTGGATCCCCTAAATCATGACCCCATGATCAGGAGGGTGCTGGGATGGCCAGACATTCAAGGACTAGTTGTAACCATCATTTGTTCAGTCCTATCATAACTTTGAATAATCACTAAGGAAGTGTAAATCATTAATTGTGGACCGCCTGTATTTTACAGCCCAATTTTCTTAAGATATGGGAATCCTACTTCCTCTGGATCAGAAACCACACATTACTTTGAAAGTCAAATCCAAAATTGGAAGCCTTGCTACAACATTGTAGATCAATGTTATTAATCCTATGTTACAAATTGGAATTAAGATTTAAGAAACAAAGTTGTATACTCATTAAAGAATGACCTGTTTCAGGAGTACTACTTAATTTATAATTTTAATAAAATTCAGTGTACTAGACATGTTCTGTGAAATAAATTGATTTCAGTAGTATTTAATAACAATAATGTGTTTAAAAATATGTTATAGTTAGAATTAAAATATGTACAAGTGGTTGTAAATTGAGACACCATGTGACTGGACTAACAACTGTTTTTATGATAATTGTAAAGAATAGATCTACTAGTTTAAAAATATTCAAAATATTCCAGTACTATATTCCAGGCAATAGTCCAAAATAATATTTTCAATCTCTTAAAAGCTGCGATTTAATTCAGCATATCACACAGCCAAATACAGGTTTCATTAAAAAAATAATTAACTCAACTTCCTAAATATTAAATACCATCTGTAATGGTAAGATTGATTACATTAGATATGTTTTATATGCATTTTAATGTATAGGTAGTTCTTTTACAACCATAACTGGATCCAGAATTTTGGTCGTAAGTTGTTGTGGTCGTAAATTGAGACACAATGTTACTGGACTCAATTTTATGACACTTTTTATTAAAATAAGTTACAGCAATGCGCGAAGCATTGTTAGAGACCCCACACGCCCACTTCACGGTCTGTTTCTGTTGCTCCCCTCTGAGAGGAGGTTTACAAGCAGAGATGGGCTTCACATAACTTAACAATCAGTTTGCCTAGTGCAGAACCGAAAATGTGATTGCGTGCACAGATGCTTCACTTGGGCACACGGCTTCAAACACGGTGATTTCATGCGTGCGGCTTCCAGCACACCTTCTCGGGCAGCTGTGCTGAGGAGAGTGAGCAAGACGGGGAAATCAGCTGGGCTAAGTGGGTGGGGTGAGCGAGCCAGAGTGAGATATACAGGATGGGATAGTACCGGGGCAGGTGGGCGGACCCAGCCGGTGGTCAGAACTACCGGTACAGGTGAACTGGTCCGAACCGGTGGCAGCCCACTAGTTTACAAGTATTTTTAGCAAGACTACCAGATTCTGTAACAGCTTTGTTCCTTATGCCATCTATCTTGTAAATTCGCAGGATTCTTTTTTTCACCAAGTATATGTATATATTCAAACTAGACTGTGGTGTTTCTCTGTCATATATATGTATGTGTATGTAGGTGAATAGATGCATAATGGTTATCTTTTGAGAGCTGAATGCAATGAAATTTCATTTTAATATATGCTAATTAGTATACATTTAAGGTGACAATAAAGATTCTATTCTACTCTTCTTTAGTCTACTCTATTCTCGATTTTCTTTTCCATTCCATTCCATTCCATTCCATTCCATTCCATTCCATTCATCTCCACTCTATTCTTCTCCTTAATCACATCTACTCATCCCATCAGCAGGGATGAGCAGATGTGAGTTGTGGGTTCCCTCCATGAAGGAATATTATCTTACCTGGCAGGACCCAAGAGGAAAGTCTTTTCAGCCATGGCACCCACCCTTTGGAACATAATTTTCCTTGAGGTCAGGCTAGCCTCAACCTTTCTGGTCTTCCTAAAGGACCTGAAAACATACTTTTGCCTTCTGGCCTGGGAATTCAGTAATGTGAATATGGAGCCTGAAAAGTCATCTTGATTGTGTAATAATATGCTACTTAGGGAACATTCAGATAAGAGACAGCATAATCCACAGCTGAATGTGGGCAGAACAAGAAGCTCAGAAGAGACGTTTCCAAGTTCTCAAGTTATAAAAATGACAGTGGGAGATTTTTACTTTTAGAGCACCTATATAAATAAATACTCTCATTAATACTCTATGACCATTCTTCTGTCCTATATCTTTTCATGGCCAACAAATTCTGATTTCTTTTCCTAGCAATTCCCATTTAATTTGCTTTAGAAATAATGTTAAAATGTTACTTATTTAGGGATTTTGTGTGGATACCTTTCATTGTACAGTCATCTCTCTGGCAGTCGGCAGACTCCATGGCTTAGCAAATTTAAATCTTAAAAAAAGGCATAAATGAGGGAAATTCTTGGGATGGGTGGGTAGGTTAGTAGTAATCTTACTATTGTTGCTAAGGGCATATCTTTCACTTGAGAATTACTGGTAAATGTCTCCTCCTAAGTAAGAAATTCAGAAGAGTTCATCCATTCCATATTTATATACACAATTTGATAATGTATTTCTGAATGCCATTTAAACTTATCTCTAATCTTTTTTACTATCCATTTTTGGAATCTATTGAACTTTTTCCTAGATCATGTTTAGAGTGAACTATCCATAGATTGAATCAAGCAATGTACCTACTTGAATGAAGCAACTGAGGCCAAGATGTGATTGAACGGTCTTTACACAATACTATAATAAATCTATAGATTGACTACTATATTATATGCAACTACCTAAAATACACAATAGTAATACAATACTTTTCTATCTTTATTTTCATGTTTGGCAAATTCATTTACTTGTTCATCAATAGTGTAAATATGTGCTCAGCATTGCAGAAAAAAATTGCTATTGGAATTAAGAATTGTGGCTTCAATGGAAATCCACACTTTTTCAAGTTCAAAATATTCTGAATTTGAAATACTGTGTACATCCCTAGTATGTTTTGCATTTTCCATATTTACTGAAATATTTTTAAGATGTACCTATATATTCCTTGACTTGCCCTGCTAAAGTCCAATTGCAGCAAAACATACTTCTCAAAGGTAGAGATCAATAAATTTCATTGATATTGGCTATTACTCCAATTAATTTGTGGCTATCCTTGTTGCCAGGAAGGAAGAACTAATCAAAAATTTAAGTCCATATGCCCAGAATTTTGCATAGACGACAAAAATGATATTTTTGTAGAGATGTTAGATAGGAACTGTGAAAACTCCCTCCCTCCCTCCCTCCCTCCCTCTCTCTCTCTGTGTCTGTATGTTGGAAAAAAATATGGACGCATATACTAAGCTGGACTCTTTAAAAAAAAAAATGACTCCCAGGATAAGAGCAGTAATAATGATGTCAACACGAGGAATGAGGTGAATTGACCTCTTGTTTTTTCTTTTTCAAGTGCTGAAATTCAATAAAAAATCAAATATTATACCTACTGAATTCTTAGCATCCCCATTGTGATGTCAAATTCTTCAATAGAAAAAATATTTTCCACATAATTAAAGACTTTAAAATATATTAGATGTAAATTTATGATAGTTATGAAATCCAGACATTATTTGCAATCACAACTCAGAGCACTCTGTTTGAGAACGCAGATTCTGTAGAAAACGAAGAAAACTTCATCTGGTAAGGCTGCTTTAGCCCTCAAGCAGATAGCAAAGCCTGATCATCAGCAGCCACTGTAGGCTGGTCACGGGTCAAATGTCTGACTAAAGCAGCTTTGCAACACAAGCCTTATTATGTTACCTTAGATTGAAAAGATAATGAATTTTAAACTTAAGTCACAAGATACTTTCTTTAAACAGAAACAACAATGGTAAAACTGATGGTTGAACAATGGTTCACAGACTGCAGCCAGTATCAGTATTTTAACAGATTAACTAAAAACAATTAAAGTATTTATCTTACCTAAATAAGGAATACAAGGAGTCATCTTCAAGCTACCAATATAGTCTCTAAGTCTTTTATAATTGTCCTCTTTGCTCATTATGTATTCCAGTTTGTCAAAAGAAGCTTTGTCTTTTCGGCTCAGTAACTTTTGGGAAAATAAAGAACAGAAAACTATCACTGCAAAAGCTAACCTTTTATATTAAAGTATTTAATAGGTATTTTATATGACAAAATGCTGAAAAACCAACAACTGACCAACAAGAAAACATTTAAAACAGACATTTAATCTGTTAGAAGACAAGCAACAAGGCCAAATCACCCTTCATATTAAATTCCTAATATTCTGATGATTTTTAAAATAAGTTTAAAAAGTAGCCATAGATTTAAAATTTATCCCCCATGTTGTTTTTAAATGTTTATCCATTCTCTCTTAATAAGGTAGTCACAACAGAATGTGACAGTGCAAATTCAAAGTCAAAAATCATAAACTGCCATTAGATAATGTGTCAAAGACCACAAAGCATCAAAGTTCAGGGCGGGGGGGGGGGGGGATTACTGCCCTAGACACTGAATATATCAGAATCTAATGAAGTCTCCTAACTGAAGAAAAGGTGGAAGGAGGCCATATGAATTATCTAATAAAGTTATCTAACAATTGTCTCTTCTTTTTATAGCCCTCTGCACTGCTTTTTATGTATTTCCAAAAAAGCTTCCAATCTTTCAAAACATGTTAAGGATAGCTTTGTTTTCCTCTAGATAGAAATAGCAACAGCACTTAGACTTATGTACCGCTTCATAATTCTTTACAGCACTCTCTAAGTGGTTTTGTGGAGTCAGTACAATCTGGCTCCTCATTTTACCAACCTCAGCTGAGTCAACCTTCAGCCGGTCAGGTCTGAACTGCTGGCAGTCAGCAGAGTTAGTCTGCAGTGCTGCATTCTAATCACTGCTATTGGCATCATCTAGTGCTAGAGGCCCCTTTGAAAGAATGGAGTATTTATTTGAGGCTGAAATCATGCCTCAGAAAAGCAGCAGGACCATTCACTAAGCACCACTACCTTTCAATCCCTTAGTTCCTGACCATCTCAGAAAACAATTATCACTTATAATTTCCCTATAGGATTTCTGGGGAAGAAATGGTGGCTTCAAGATGACTCTGGGAAGAATGGAGACGACGACCCTAGTTGTATGAAAAACCAGAATGTAGACTGGCTCTTCAATACCTCCTCTCTGGACAAGGAAAGGACTTAAGATCACATATAAGTGCTCAGACAGTTGCTCCTCCCAAGCAGTCTGTCTGCAAGCCAGCAGTCCCTTGCAAGTTTAGAGCTCAGGGAGACAAGGGAATAGCCATCTTGTTCAAACCACAGTTGGTGACTTTCAAAGAATCTTGAATTTACATACTTCTTTTTCTAATCACTTTTACAAACTGCTTGGTAACTCTGTTCAGATACTAGAAACCTTTGGATTAACAGGTTTTTCAATACCTGGTGAGTTTCTTCAGTCCTCAACAAAAAAGTTTTAAATACAAGCTTAAGGACTTTAAAAATTGTTATGTTTACTATAGGGTGATTAAACTTTTGACTTTAGAAAGCTACAAATGTATTATGGGTCCAGATTAATTTGAAATAAATTATATTTTTTTCCATGGAAAAATATTTATGTTCTGAATCCTAAAAAAAACGTAAAGTAATTTAAGAATTGGACACCACCGATAACTAAAAATTTCAATTAAAGGACAACAACTCAAACTGGACTTGGGATGAAGCAAAATATCCTAATATACTGAATGATATTTTTGAGCACTAAACCTAGAAGTTAACTTTAAGAGTGTTTGCCTCTATAGAATGACTGTATCTAAAAGATGGTACGGAAGAGGAATAAGTTTTACCTGACAAAATGGAGACTGATTTGAAATTAGATTTAAAAATAACAGGCTACAAGAATAATATGGAAAAAGATGCTACAGTGGATATACAAAAGAAAAGGGTTAAACAAATAGCAAATCAAGAAAGTGACCTGGATAATTTTCTTATATTGAACAAATAAAAGAGACTTGTTAAAGCTTTGAATAATTTTATAAGATAAATTGTTTCTTTATATCAAAGATGCCTGTAGAATCCATTAGCTAGGTCTGCTCCTTGTATAATTAATGTTTTGTTATTTATTAATAAAAAAGCAATTATTTAATGTAATTCACTCACCGCCCATGTTTTAGTCAACCTGAAGATGGGGGCACTTTGCAATCCAGAAACCACAGCCATAAGAGCATGTAAATTATTTAGTTCATAAAGTTTCTGAAGACAAGAACAGAAATGGAAACTCAATATCAGGTAATTATTTACTAATATTAAATCATAAACCTCTGAACAATTTTCTAAGAATGCAGCGCAATAAAGAATGGATACAACCAAATGATAACCAGCCAAAATAAAACTGCCAAAGAATTATAAAACTGAAGTGAATTATAAAGCTTCAGAACTATTCTGTTCAATACAATCTAGATTAGGTTGGATCAAAGCAGAAACTTTCAAATGCTTTCTCTCTTTGCCTGACCTTAGGTTGTATAAATAATATTCTTTTGAGGATTGAGAGAATCTGCTGATACATTTTTTGATAGAAGGGAGAAAGAAGTACAAAAGAAACATTGAGAATGGAACAGAAAGCAACTCTACCAATTATTCAACAATCACTTCCTCTCCCCTCATCCTTTTGCCACAACCCATTCTATCACAAGGATTCCCAAATCATTTAAGATTCTTGGATATGGGGAAGTCTAGATTCTGTTTATGCCCCTCTGCAGCTATCTAAATATGATTTTTGTGTATAACTTAGCTTGGCCTCGGGCAAAATGAACAACAACCACTTCTTTAACTAGGTTAAGAGATTAGCAGCATACTTTTATACTCCTTAAGTATAAAATTAAGGTTAATATTACTTAGTACAGAGAAACTGGGGGGGGGGGGGATTACCACAGAAATATAGTATAGAGCAGAAGCATGTGCTTGCCAGAGTCTATCTATTGACTTATTGATGGTTCACAGTTTAACATCTCCACCAAATTTATTATGTCTATTGATAAATATACATGATATCACTAGAATTAAAATTACATATTTCTATAGAACTCTAATAAAAATGTCTAAATCTGAAAAACTGTTGCAAATAGAAAATAATTTTAAAATTCCAGCAAATGAAACAATAAAACCAAGTAAAATAAATATTATTTTGGTGACTGATATGAGCAAACATTAATATTGTTCATGACTTCATCAACAAATACTTATTGTTTGTACTATGTGCTCAGGAGAAATATTCAACCAGTAAATCAAAACTTTTAATGCATTATTCAAAAGATAGAAGCCAGAAAATGTTATGCACTTTTTGGCATACATTTATTTACAAATGTAATTAATTTGTAGTTGATTCAACATATGTACTGCCAGTTTCAGAGGAAAAGTTTCAAACTCACTAGCAGTATCATAATCTACTTCTGCAACTTTCAAACAATAATGAAGAACCATTACCATAAGTTGTAATTTCTATAACTGATTAACAATAGTGGGGTTTTTTTCATATCATAAATAAATGGAACCAAAATTATAACAGGTTGTTGAAATGGAGTTTTAAAGTTTAAAACTGTTCCCAAAAAGATTTTCTTACCTTAGCAGTTTTGATATAGTGGCTTAGGACTTCAGCTCTTATTTTTAATGTCTGTGCATGAAGAATCTCTCTAACTACCCAAAAGCTTACCTGAAAACAAAAGGTCTACATTCAGATATATACAAAAGGGAAGTGGTGATAGTGCTAATAAAAATGTGAATACTGAAATAATCAATCAAAAAAATTCACATTATAAAATCACTTTGTCACGTTAAAAGATGCAAATTACTCCATTAGAGTGAATACTTCACTCTTATGAATTCAGTTAGCACAGATTCATTCTATTATTCAGATACATGGAGATGTTTACTCTTATTTTTGTTATGTAACCTCAATGAAGGGGCAGAGATGGGAGAGGAGAGTATACAGATACCTCTGCCTTTAACAGAAGTTAAGATTTTAACAACAAAAAGAAAGATCATACGGTTTTATTAATTGCACCATTCTATTATGATGTATACAGTTAGTCTCAAAACTTACATGGTTGAATCTTCTTGTAAAAGCAACTGCATTTGGTGCTGAACTATATTTTTCCTTTTTATTCCAACCACAGCTTGACAGTTCCTAGTTGAACAATGAAAGAAATAATTTCACGTCAGGGTTCAGATTGCAAAACAAAACATGATTTTTCTTTTTATTAATAGTTCTAATTGTATTTTCCCTTATATTACTGGTAAGGCTGATGTGCAAGATATGTTAATTCTGAACATGCTTTTTGTAAAAATACTGCGAATTCTAACATAATTTGAACAATGTCACGTCTTGAGCAATGTGTGATCTCTGAATGTTCAGAAGCATCTCATTTGCAATTTCTGTTGAATAGTATTCTAAAGTGACATAAGTATATAAATGAAAGTGTGAAACCTTGTACATCCCTTTTAATGTTTAAATTTGTCTAATTGTACACATTTCCACTAAAATTCTCAAGTTACCAAAACCAAAAATAAGTGCTATTCTCTAATGTATTCAGGCAAACTTTGTTAGTAAATATGCAATATTATTAGCTTGATTCCTTTATAATAAGCCACAAATTGCTGCTGTCTATATGAACCTTGTCTTCTCATTCTCATGACTTTCTGAATAAAAAAAGGAGTTTTCAGTAACATACTAATTGTGTAAAGATAGCTCCATTCAGACATTATGTAAACTGGAGTATTTACCTGTAGGGACTCCATCGCAGAATCATCCCTTATCAATGTCATTGAAATGATGTTGGCTTTCCTGCAGCATTCATGAATTTAACACAGATTATTGCACAGAATGGTCTGTACTCTAGCTCATGGGAAACATAATGAAAATGCTCTCAATGTTTGTGCTGAACACATGAATAACTTCAAAGGACTTCAAACACCATTGGAGCAACACTGAGGTGGGAGTTATCCAGTGTGCTTAGCCGATCAGTGCTCCAGATTTATAATGCCTGAATGGTTTAGAGTTTGTCTGGAATCCATAACTGGAAACACCCTTCAAACTAGGAAGGACAAGATAAAATAAGAAGAGAATGGAGGGGAAATCTTGAAGAACTGCAAGAAGAGAATAAGAACACTGAAAGAAGACAGAAGCTTGTTGAAGAACTGTTTATTTGCCAATACTTAAACATTGAAGTACCATTATAGGTAGTCTTTCACTTACAACCATTCATTTAGTGGTCATTTGAAGTAATGGCACTGAAAAAAAATGATTTTTGACCATTTTTCACACTTATGACCATTGCAACATCCCCGTCGTGATCAAAATTCAGGTGCTTGACAACTGATATAGCTTTATGATGGTTACAGTATCCCAGGGTCATGAGATCACCTTTTACAGCATACTGACAAAGTTATTAACCAATCCATCATCCTCCACTTAGAAACAAACAACCTACTCTCTAATAAACAATTTGGTTTTAGGAAAAAACTATCATGTAATCCGCAACTCTTCCACTGTGGTACACGACAAACTACTCCTAAAACTAAAATCTTACGGTATCTCTGGACACCTGCATAACTGGATAGAAGCATTCCTGTCAGACAACAAATGGTCAAAATTGGGAGCGTCCTATCAAATTCTGTACCTGTCAACAGTGATGTCCCCCAAGGCAGTGTTCTAGGACCAACTCTTTTCATACTCTACATAAATGACCTCTGTGATCATATCAAGAGCAACTGCGTTCTCTTCGCTGATGATGTAAAGCTATTCAACACCACAGACAATCCTGCTACCCTTCAAAAAGACCTTGACTATGTATCAGAATGGTCAAACAAATGCCAACTTCAAATCTCAACAAATAAATGCTCTGTCCTACATATTGGCAAAAAAAATCAGAAAATATAATAAAGGCTGAATAGTCAAGACCTTGTTGATTATCCAAACTCTGTCAAGGATCTTGGAGTACTCATCTCTAATGATCTAAGTGCTAGAGCCCACTGTAACTACATAGCCAAAAAGGTGTTAAGAGTTGTTAACCTAATCTTACGTAGCTTTTTCTCTGGTAATATTACACTACTAACTACAGCATACAAAATATTTGCTAGACCAATACTCGAATACAGCTCATCAGTCTGGAACCCACATTATGTATCTGATACTAACACAGTTGAGAAAGTCCAGAAATATTTCACAAGAAGAGTTCTACACTCCTCTACTCGTTGCAGAATACCTTATGCCACCAGACTCAAAATTCTAGACCTAGAAAACCTAGAACTACGCTGCCTTCGGTCCGATCTAAGTATAGCATATGAAATCATACATTGCAATGTCCTACCTGTCAATGAATACTTCAGCTTCAACCATAACAACACAAGAGCACACAAGAGATACAAACTCAAGGTTAACCGCGCCAAACTTGATTGCAGGAAATACGACTTCAGCAACAGTGGTCAAAGTCTGGAATACTCTACCTGACTCTGTGGTTTTTTTCCCCAAACCCCCAAAACTTTAACCTTAGACTATCTACTATTGATCTCACCCCTTTCCTAAGAAGTCTGTAGGGGGCGTGCATAAGCGTACCAACGTGCCTACCGTCCCTGTCCTATTGTTTCTTTTATATATTTTTTATTTTTCTTATATATATCCATGTATTCATAACTATGTTTTTACTTATACCTATTATCTTGTAAGCAATTGACAAATAAAAAAAAATTAAAAAATTAATGGGGAAACCAGATTCACTTAACAACCATGTTACTAACTTAATAACTGCAGTGATTCACTGAACAACTGTGGTAAGAAAGGTTGTAAAATGGGGCAAAACTCACCTTAACAATTGTCTTGGTTAGCAATGGAAATTTTGGGCTCAATTGCGGTCACAAGTCGAAGATTACCTGTATTCTTTTAAATAGCCTATATTTTTATTATCTCCTGAAGGGCAGAGCATGTAACAAGACTTATCTTATGCGAGAAAGTTATCAGGTAAGATATATCCATGAATAGTTTGAATGTCAAATTAGAATTGTCCTGGTATAGCACCTAAAAGTTACAATTCCATTACATAAAACAATCTGCTTCTATTCTGGTAAAAAGCAATTGTGTACAGTACTAGATTTGAGAATCAAAAACTGGACCCCAAAATCAGCAGGAATTCAAAATACGGTAACGATTTTGTTTTAGCAAAATAGTTTTTTAAATATATATCTATGTCAAGAAATCTCAATATCCGATTTTATAATAACTTGAAGTATCTGTAAATCTGAAAAGAAGATTCTGTTCTTTCTGCTCTCAAATAATTGATAGTGAGTTTCTATAAGCAAGATTTTATATTAGATGTACAGAAAGGATAAATTCAGTTTTATAAATCAATTGAATAAACAAATATTCTAAATAAATAATTTTAATCATTTGCATTGTTTATCAATAGCTTTCAATGGGGAACTATGTTATTTCCTGATAGTTTAAATTAATTTTGGAAAATAAATCAATTCAATATTTTGAACTTCTTAAAAATCAGCGGAATTGCAGAAAACAAGCTACAAAGTTATGTTCATGCATATCAGATAATGGCATTACCAAATGGCATCATTTAAAACCCCAATACAAATACTTTGGAACAATAATCTTCACTTCAGCAGATCTCTGAATGAAGAAAAGAAACAGGGAAAAGAAGAATCAATTTGTGTTCTCGTTTCAACTGACCAATAGGAAAGAGCAAAAAGGGCATTCAATGGGATTCGTAGACAAGCTGGTCCTAATGCAAGCACTAATTCCTTCATCTCCATCAAAGGCAAAAAGGAAATAAGGTTGGTAGCACTTCGACTTCCCAATCCACTTTTCTAGAATATACTATATCAATTTGTCTGGTGTTTGTAAAAATTGTAAGCAGTTGATATAAACAGACAGCAATTTTCCAAACCACAATTGCTTGGTTGGTTTAAAAATACGAATGTTAATTGTGATTGCGAAAAGACAGCATGCCAGCTATTTTATAATCACTTTTTCCAGTAGCTAAAATCATTCTTATATGTTTTTATAATGGTTTAAGTGGAGGACATGGGAAAATGTCATGTTAGGTACCAAGAATATGAAGCTGAAAACTGTCTCTAATCACCTAATCCTCCAACTCCATAGAAAAAGAAACTACTTGGAGCTCCCTCCAATCCCCAATCTTCACCTGGGTTGCTACAGGAAACATATCAAAAACTTTAAGTAGCCAGAACAGGCCAGATAAACTCTGGGTGTCTTGAATCAGTATCATTAAGGTGGTATATATTTTCTTGCCATATGCAGAAAGCAAAATAAGTGATTGCTATGAAGAACGTCCTTAGAAGTTGTAAGACACTTGGTAATTTAAACAGCTATGGATAAAATGCCACCTCGGTAAATAATTTCTCACCCTTGGTTTTTATATTAAGATACTCAGTGTTTCTCACCTTACATTAAAAATAAATAAATGTACCTCTTCTCAGTGTTAACTTTTCTAGTTTGACTTAGGTCTCCCAAAAGTATAAAAGATATACCCCGTTTCTCCAACAATACGGCTTCCCCCAATAGGAAGTCCCAGCATGTTTTATAGGCATGAAATGAAATTAAGCCCCTCCCCACAAATTAAGGCCTATATTAAAACATGCGAAATGGGGGGGAATGGTGTGGGGGGCTTGCCGTTAGGAAGTACTTTTGTTGCATACCTGGATATGGTGCTGCCTGCATTGACCCCGATACGAAGTCCCCCACCAATGCCGAGGTCAACATCCAAGCAGTTGCCGCCCGCCCACCCAAAGATGCAAGGGGGAGAATTAAGTCACCCCCGAAAAGACGGCCTAGCCATTTTTTCGGGTCTCAAAAAAAAAAAAAAAAAAGACCTGGCCTTATTATATGAGAAACACGGTACATGCTAGACTGCAAACTTTGTTGCAGATAAGTCCTAAAATAATTATGTTCTTTAGTTCACATCACGTTCTTTTATATGAAAAGATTCTGAAAAAAATTGGATTAAAATGTATTTTTGGATAAATATGAGATTTGCCTTCTTCATAAAATTCCCTTTCAGTCTAAAATCACTCTCTAAGATAGCCCTTAGGAAAATTAGCATAAAAGTCTTATCAGTGATCTTGCCTTCTTTTACATCACTAGAGAAATGGGATTAATAAAACATAGGAAAGAATGTGAATTCAGTAATAGATGTTTCAAGGAATGGATGTAGTAAAAGAAAATGGTTTGCAAAGATGACAAAAGTATGGAAAGGTGTTATTGATTTAAATTTAGTTTAGATTCTCTTTTTCTTTCTGTTGTGTGTAATTTCTTTTTCTATGTATTTTATTTGGAGTTCTGCTTGCTTTTTATGCTGCAAGAGAACAGCATGATGTACGTGTAAGTATTTACCTTATAAAGAATAGCAAATGTGGTTTACTTGAAAAATTATTTACTGTTACCCACATTTATTTGTCAACTTTTTTATATTGCCTGACTTCCAGCAACTTTGGGCAGTTCACAAAACAATAAAATAATACTATGATAAAAGCAAAGAACAAAAGATGGCACAAACTGGGCAGTTATTTCTGATAAAAGAACAACAATCTTCAGAATATTAATAACTAATGAAATTAGCTAAAACGTTTACATAACTGCCCATCATGTACCAATCTCTGGGTGACTCACAACCAAAAAAGAAAACATTTGTTTATAATAAACAATCAAACAAAAAATCAAAAGACCTGATGCCACAGCTAAACTTTCCTATGCAGCACAGAAGTTCATCTTACCAATCTCAGCCTATCTTATCCTAGGGGGAAAAGCCAGGTCTTAAGTGATTTCTAGGGACGTGGTGGCTCAGTGGTCAGCAGTTCGGCGGTTCAAATCCCTAGCACCCCGCAGGAGTGAGCTCCTGTTACTTGTCTCCGCTTCTGCCAACCTAGCAGTTTGAAAGCATGTAAAAATGCAAGTAGAAAAAGCATGTAAAAATGCAAGTAGAAAAACCCACTTTGGTGGGAAGGTAACAGCGTTCCATGCGCCTTCGGCATTTAGTCATGCCGGCCACATGACCATGGAGGCGTCTTCGGACAGTGCTGACTCTTCAGCTTTGTAACAGAGATGAGCACTGCCCTCTAGAGTTGGAAACAACTAGTACGTATGTGCGAGGAGAACCTTTACCTTTAGCTTAAGTGATTTCTGGAAGGTTAAAAGGTGGGGTTGGGGCTTAAAAGGTTAAAAACTCAAGAGGAAAAATGTTCCATAGGGCGGGGGCCACCACAAAAAAGGACTGCTTCCTAAGTCCCAACATTTAAAGTAAGAGATTAGGAGCATGCCCACTTTTTAACCTGTTGGATGGGCAGGCCTCCTTAGGAATAGGCAGCCCTGCATACAACCTGGTCCCTTGTCATATAGGGCTTTAAACGTTAATAGCGTGTGCTTGAAATGCACCCAGAAGGTAAAATTTCTGGCAAGGACATGGGATGCTAGATGTCACTAAAGGAGTGAGGTATGGCATTACAGCTGAAAGTGATAGTAGTTGGATTTTAACTGCTTTTTAAATATTAAGAACCTTGGAAACAGCAACTTTGATGGCTAAGTTTCCTTTTATACTTTAAGTATGATGTTGAGGATTTTGCAGCTTTGGGAATAAGAGGCAAAAAAGTGATTAGGCTAGATATAGATGTTATTTCTTATAACCTTTAGTGGACTTTTGCTAATCAGAAGTGAATGATGAAGTTTTAAGAATTTGTCTACAGATAAGCGATGGGATATGGGATAAATAGATTGTTGTATTTTAAAGAGAAAGCGATCAGTTATTCAAATTTATATTTATTAAGATGAAGGAGGTTATTGTTTTTATACATGTAGTCCTCAACTTACAACAGTTTACTTAGTGACCCGTTCAAAGTTACAATGGCATTGAAAAAAG